TTTCCTGAACCTTCTGTTCAATTTAAAACAAACAGCAAGCCTCATCGGAGGACAACATAGCACTTCAGAGATCGAAAGATAGATATATGAGTACTTGTTATTTTTATTGCTTATGAATATGGAATACACATATTTCTTTGTATTTACAACTTTGTTACATACAGGCTGTGATTTGGTTATACTGTCTAATAAATAGGTTATTAAATTGACCAATCTAAAATAAGTATATTTCAGAAGTTTATTTTATATTTGGAAAAACATTTCAACCTGTTCATTCCACTCTTGGGGTTTTGTTGTTGTTGTTGTTGTTTTTTGAGCTGGAAGCTAAAAACCACATTAGGAAGAAGCCATGACAGTGGCATTTCTGAAGTTTTTTTGTCACCCAGGTTCTAGTTGGCTAAGGATCTTTGAGGGAACTGAAGCCCTTGCGTGTGGTCTACAAAGATATATGGGTCAGATCGAAATTTGAGTCGATTTTCTCTAATTGGGGGAAAAAAAGAGACATCTGTAATATTTGCAGCCCAGTTTGGGCAGCCACCATCTCTGAGCCTCAGCTGTCCCATCTGTAGAGCAAGGGCAGTGACCCCTGACCTCTGCCCAGCACACAAGGCTACTGTGGCCTTCACACTGAAGGTCTGGGAACTGTCGGGCTCCATAACAAGAGTTGCATATGGTATGGAGAGTGTTTCTGGGAAATCAGATTTTTCAACATGTGGTTTATTTAAAAAATAGTTAAAATGAGTGTCTGACAAGACATTTTCATGTGAATTTTCATATTCTTGAGTAACAGTAAAATCGTGGCGCTATAATGAAGAATACCTTGATTTTTAAGAATGATACTATGAACATTTCGAAATCTATACATTTTCATATGAACTCAATTCCCAATTATGTTATTTGACGATCCTATGTGGCTCAAGTCTACCTTTATGTTCCAGTATGTAAAACCCACATTTTATAAAAATATACAACTATAATATTTTTAACACAAGTAAAATATAAATCACTAATTCTTTTGGCATTATCATAGTAAGTTGGTCTAGGTGATAAATGTTAATCCTATGAAACCATACATGCTTTTAAAACAATAGTATTTTTTAAACTTCAAATATATTCTAATTTGAAACTCAGCACTAATGATTCAACTCGAAGTCCTGAGAAGCCAAGTTTACCATCTGTTAACTCTTGAACTTTTTTCACACCCTAATATTTTTGATTTACATATTCATATATAATGGAATCATTTACATTTTTAAAGTCATGCTTGCTGTGGCTGCTCCGAGCAAAAATGATAAAAGCGTATTGAATATTGGCAGGAAAACTCATGGAATCCTGTAGAAATTACATATTTATTCTTTGGAAAAGTTTTTTTAAGCTATACCTAGTTATAGCAAGCATTGGAAGAGTTAAAAAGACATGCAAAGTTAACCCAAACCTTTGCCGAATCCTTCAATTTTTTTGGAATATTTCCCTGATATCTTATGAAAGAAATTTATATCTTATCAAGTCAAATGCATAGTAATTATTACATATATATTGTTTGTTTGCAAATATATGAACATATCCACCTGCTTTTCTTAAATCATAATGATATAAAATAAAATACATGGATTGGCCACATTCTCTTGGAATCTAAAACTATGTGGGAAAATTCGATGAATCACTTTCTGGAAGCAAAAAAAAAAAAAAAAAAAAAAGGATGATTTGCTCCAGCATGCCTCACATATAGCAAAGGAGCAAAGAACCGTCTGTCACTTACACCCCCATCATATTACTGTCTTTTATAAGGAAACAAATATTGCTTATAAGTTAATGTTGCTGTGATAAAATAGTTAACATTTATATTTTCTGCAGTGCAGGAAGCATATGATAATGCATAGAGGCACGTGAATGAAAGGCTCTGTCGCATTATATTTATGATGGCATAAATAAATGATGGGACTCAGAGAGGCAGTTTACATCGAATCACTCTCCAGGCTTTCCTGTGTGCTCTGTAAAAACGCTTGTCAAAAGTGTAGAACTACAATGAGCTTTGCCCTTTACCTTGCTTGTATGGGAGTTTACTTGTCACTGAAAATCTGTTTCTAAAGCTGACGCTTTGCTGTTACAATAGGATATTATACACATATTTAAAATTTTGAGGTCGAATCCTATAACTTCTCACGAGACTCTTAAAATTGATTTTCTTGGTATTTAAAGAGCAAGTACCCCAATTATAAGGAAATAAATTAAAATACAATTTCCATTTTGGTTTTACCATTTTACATTTTTTGAGCTCAGAATCTTTTTTTTTTAAATGATATTCTGCGAAGATGTGAACTAATATTGGCCACATATATGAAACAAGTCTGTTCAGATGTTTGCTTAACCTTTTAAAACGTCATTTTCGCGGATAGATTTCACCGAAAATATATTTACTGCCTTTGCAGGTGAAAGGCTACAGTTCATTCACATTTAGATATTTTAAACGTCAATGTGTCTCTATGCTACATAGCTATCCATGATGTGATTGGTCAGATCTAGTCCTCGCCCACCCCTTCCAAAAAAGAAAAAAGTCTTGTCAAATTTCCTTTAACGTAGATTCAGTGAATATAAACTTTTTAAGAATGGCATGTGTGAGTCTGTATAATAACTTTATATCAAAGCATCGATCCTAAGTAAACCAGCTTACTTCCTGTTCCCAAGCTCAATAGGGTAACTTGAAATTTAAGGGCAAAAGCCACGTGATTTTGCCTCCTACAGATAGCAAGAGCTCTATTTTATCCTCCTAAGTGGGTTTTGCTGTGGATTCTATCACCAGAATCA